AGGATCTCACTGGCACCAAAAATGTCATTCATAATTCCATAGTAGACCGTAGGAAAAAATTGGCCATATATCAAAAATTGGCCATGTAGGGGCTTCGTCATTGACTGGCCAGTGACAGAGTTAGGCATGAAAATACCATTATATTGGAATTTTGGAGATATTCACAGGTCTGAAGGCACTTTGTGATTGAGTTTGTGCCAATTCCATTCAAAAATCTGCCCCACCCCCATTACTGTGGACTGTGCTAAAATTGGCCATGTAGGGGCTTCGTCTTTGACTGGCCAGTCCACCATATTGGATATTTGTCACTGGCCATATTTGAGAAATTATAGGAATAAAGAGCATTTCTCCCCATTGTACACCTAAATATGTTAGATTGGCATCTCAGGATCTCACTGGCACCAAAAATGTCATTCATAATTCCATAGCAGACCATAGAAAAAAATAAATTGGCCATATATCAAAAATTGGCCATGTAGGGGCTTTGTCACTGACTGGCCAGTAGCACAGTTAGGCATGAAAATACCATTATGTTGGAATTTTGGAGATATTCACGGGTCTGAACGCACGATGTGATTGAGTTCGTGCCAATTCCATTCAAAAATCTGCCCCACCCCCATTACTGTGGACTGTGCAAAAATTGGCCATGTAGGGGCTTCGTCTTTGACTGGCCAGTCCACCATATTGTATATTCGTCACTGGCCATATTTGAGAAATTATAGGAATAAAGAGCATTTCTCCCCATTCTACACCTAAATATGCTAGATTGGCATCTCAGGATCTCACTGGCACCAAAAATGTCATTCATAATTCCATAGTAGACCATAGGAAAAGATTGGCCATATATCAAAAATTGGCCATGTAGTGGCTTCGTCATTGACTGGCCAGTGACAGAGTTAGGCATGAAAATATCATTATATTGGAATTTTAGCGATATTCACAGGTCGGAAGGCACCATGTGATTGAGTTTGTGCCAATTCCATCCAGAAGTCTGCCACTTTCCCATCACTGTGGACTGTGCAAAAATTGGCCATGTAGAGGCTTCGTCTTTGACTGGCCAGTGACAGAGTTAGGCATGAAAATGCCATTATGTTGGAATTTTGGAGATATTCACAGGCCTGAAGGCACCATGTGATTGAGTTTGTGCCAATTCCATTCAAAAATCTGCCCCACCCTCATTACTGTGGACTGTGCAAAAATTGGCCTTGTAGGGACTTCGTCTTTGACTGGCCAGTCCACCATATTGGATATTCGTCACTGGCCATATTTGAGAAATTATAGGAATAAAGAGCATTTCTCCCCATTGTACACCTAAATATGTTAGATTGGCATCTCAGAACCTCAATGGCACTAAAAATGTCATTCATAATTCCATAGCAGACCATAGGAAAAAATTGGCCATATATCAAAAATTGGCCATGTAGGGGCTTCGTCATTGACTGGCCAGTAACACAGTTAGGCATGAAAATATCATTATGTTGGAATTTTTGAGATATTCACAGGTCTGAAGGCACTATGTGATTGAGTTTGTGCCAATTCCATTCAAAAATCTGCCCCACCCCCATTACTGTGGACTGTGCAAAAATTGGCCATGTAGGAGCTTCGTCTTTGACTGGCCAGTCCTCCATATTGGATATCCATCACTGGCCATATTCGAAAAATTATAGGAATAAACAGCATTTCTCCCCATTGTACACCTAAATATGTTAGATTGGCATCTCAGCTCCTCACTGGCACCAAAAAATTTCTATCTGAAAGAACTGGCTATATTTTAAAATATTTTAAACAGTTAACCATGAAAAGTCCATTATATTGATTTTTTTTTATATTAACGTTCCTGATTGCACCATCTTTATCTCAAGAATGTACTATGAGCCTATGAGATTTTATTGTACAGAAAATATCGTTTTTGGTCATAATATTGTAATTCATAATTCAATTCTTTCCTTTGTACACAGCTACTGACCGGCCATAAAAATTGGCCATTGGCCACAAAAATTGGCCAAAAAATTAGGGACGAAGCCCTAACTCAAACAAGTTCGACCAGGGCCAAAAACAAGTCTAAGGTCGCTGTCGTAAATGTATTCTACTCTTTTGTATTAATATTATCTTCAATAATGATTTATTTGCAATATGTTTCAAATGACCGACAAAATGAATGAAAGAGAGTTGTCTCTAAAAACTTGACGAATGAAGTAACACATTAAAAACATCCTAAACTGATATAAGGGAGGCTACTACATTAATATTACAAAAGTCAAATTTTTACTACAGACTACAAGCAGTTATTCAAAAAAAAAAAAGGCTTCCTTCATGACGTAATTGTGTACAGGTTAACAGGAACAATCACAATTATACAATGATTAAATGTTTCTATAAAATATTTATTCAAAATTTTACAATTTCAATAAAGGTTTAAGGATGAATTAAAAAGTTGTACATGTATAAATGAGAAATATATACTCTAATTTCCAAGTTGTAAAGAAGCTATATAATAAAGTACAAACTGTATTAAGAGACCACGCAGGGGTAAATTCAAAAACAGTCTCTTACTGGAGGTGGTCTCTTATGACAGAATTGAGTCGGCTGAAACAATTCAATTCATTTCCTTTATTTTATTCTATAGAACAGTCTCTGGTCGCGTAATGAAGGTGGTCGCTTATCAGTCGTTAATTACATTGAAAACTTGTAGGGGGAATTTTATTGTGGTCGCATATTGAAGGTGATTGCTTAATAAAGGTGGTCGCGTGAACAGGATATAACTGTAGTTTATTATAAAGGTTTCTATAAAATTAAAAGTTCTGCATAGAACAAAACAAGATTTATTATTTAAAATATTTCTAATGAATGCACAAATAAACAGCAACAAATTTTTTTGTAATTGTTTTGTTAATCATTTTGTAGGAATAAACCCTAAAATGTGTATAGTACCTTATAGAGTGTATGTAGTATATCGTGACCCACGCTTGAAACCTTGTGTATGCCATATTTGGTCATTTTGACTTTTTGGTACCGTTCGAAAGCTTGTAAAAGCGCGGATCTTGTGATCAAAACTTCGTATTCTTAGCTTGATTGTAAATAACCCAAAAACCACTAATTAAAAAACACATATATAAACTGTCTGATTTAAAACCTAGTAAAATATTAATGTTCCTTTTTCTGCGGATGAAAACGAAAAACCTTGTATACTGTACTTTTATACGAGTTATTGGTTCAATTGGCCGGAGTACTCAAAAATACGGATAGCGGTAAAAAAAAATAATAAAGAAGATTTTAACAAAATACACGTACAAATAGTTTTTTGAATTTTTTTCAAAAAGTAATTTCGCGTCATGTATCGTTATACAAGGTTTCAAACAGGCACCGACAATATTATGTAGAGCAATATGAACTGTAATCTGTGAAGAGCAATACCAACACTTCTCAAACAGTTCTCTTTTTTAATTCTCTTAACTAAGCAACATTTAACGTTTAAAGAAAAAAATAAAGCAAACTATTTGATTATTGTTGTTTATAATGAATTATCCATGTATTCTTAATCAAAAGAAATGTATGTGGATGGAGAAGCGTTGGAGAATACAATAAACTCAAATACACTTGGTGTATAATTGACTCCATAATTGATTACATCACTTAATGACATGAAGCTATATTTGAACACCCTGGCCAGATTTTAATATTATGAGCCATATCAATTTGGAAGGTTGGTACTAACTATCCGAACTGCAAAACAAAACCCGAAACATAAATTCCATGGCTGTACAGATTGATCGTTCTAAGGTCAGAAAATATGTCTGCATTCCCTTTGTAATTAGTTTATTAAATGAGACAAAGTGGTATTTTCCCTGATCATTAGAATGCCTCTACCTTCGATTGATAGAAGTATTAGATGTCCAATAATTGAATATTTACATAAATAAATGCAAATAAGGGAAACCCATCTTTGACTCCAAGTAAAATTACTTTAGTTATCTAAATATATTAGGCATCAAGTTTAACAATTTTTGTCCAACCTAAAATCTCAAAATTTAAATACCCAAGTAGCCTAAGCATGGAATGAAAAAACTTAAATATGTTAGTAAAATTGTCAAATAAAAACAAAAACAACTACTAGACTAACCAAATTCCATAAAATACAACAAACATAAAAATTATAGTAAAATAAAGTAAATGATTTATAAGATAACACAGCTAGACTCCTCTACCTTATTTATAGATCTCAACTTTTTAACAGCAGGAGGGACTGCTTTATTTGTATAAATTGTAGGAACTTCTAATAGATCTATCAAACATGAAACACATTTATTTAAATCTTTGCTTGTTATCTTCATCTTTCCTTTCCTACGAAAACTATTTCTCACTACCCAAACTTTTTGAACCAAATCTTTTGGTACATCAAATGAAATGCTATTTTCAATATAACTTAAGCTGTATCGTATATCCTCATGAAATTCGTTGGATTTGTAATAAAATTTGTGGGCCCTAGGGATCAAAACTCTAGCAACCTCATATGGATTTGTTAACCATTCACTAGAAGAGTATCTAGACCACACTATTCTATCTATATAACCTTTACGACAAAACTGAATTATTTCTCTTCTCCATTCAGCACATGCAGGACACCATTGTCCTACTATCTCATAGTTCTTGCTACAACTATCATTTGGACAGGGTGGAAGGTGTCCTATAAACTTTTTAGCATGTCTATGGAAGGCTGCTATTCTCTGATGTGTGCACATTGCAAGAGCTTTTGTAGATTCTCGTAAGGCCACATTAAGACATAACCAATCTTGTGTTTGAGGATCAGTCATTTCACTTGCTATTATGTCTTCTCTATTTAAACTCTGCCCCATCTTGTATCTATTACTTTACAGCATCTCTAAAAGATAAATGACACTATTAAAGACTTTAAACTGGTAAATTAGTCTTGTATAGGTGTGAAATTGTTTGTTATTAATTATGAAGCGTATGACATCAAAAAGGTAACGTTTCACTAAACTATTATGGAGCACCTTTTGTATAATTGAGCAATTTGTTATACAGGTGAAGTCTATCTTTGTATCAACAGGCCAAGATTTTCAAGAAATATAACAACACTTTTCTACTTTCCCCCTTCTTGGTAAATGTCCTTCAAGTAAAAATAATGGTATCAGGCTGAGAAAACAACTGAAGGGGAATTCCACGGAAACCGGGAAGTGAAACAGAAAAAAAGTGTGAACTAAATGAACTTACAAACGTTTATTTAAACAATAAGCTAGGGGAAATCGGGACCTGGCATTAAAAAATATAATAAATCAATATAATATATTTATATTACCGATATTATCGAACATAAAATGGCATACCAGCTGACAAGCCAAAACATAAACAAAGGATAAGTAACTCATTGATGAGGAAGTAGACACAGTTGTCAAGTCTCAAAAATAAACGTCAAACAAAACGAAAGTAGGCATCGCCTGATGGTAGTGATTGATTGACACTATGTCTCGAAAAAAGAAGACAGTCCTGATCGATTTGAGTGGAACAATTCATATTGAAAATGATGAAGTTCCAGGGTCTATCGATGCGTTAAAGATGTTAAGAACATGCACAGTTAACGTTAGGTTCGTTACCAATACAACAAAGGAATCAAAACAAATACTGTTTGAAAGACTGACAAAAATAGGTTTTGAAATAGATTTCGATGAAATATTTTCATCATTAACTGCGGCAGTTAACAGAATCAAGAAGAGTAATCTCAGACCATACTTACTTGTGGATGACAAAGCTATTGCAGATTTTGAAGGCTTTCCAGTGGCAGACCCTAATTGTGTTGTCGTTGGATTGGCACCGGAGAAATTGTCCTTTGAATGTATGAATAAGGCCTTTGATCTTTTGATTAACGGTGCACAATTAATAGCAATTCACAAAGCCAAATACTATAAAAGAACTGATGGCCTAGCTCTAGGACCCGGTCCCTTTGTGACTGCGTTAGAATATGCCTCTGGTGTTTCCGCACATATTGTTGGAAAACCTTCTTCTGATTTCTTTCTCTCTGCAATCAAAGACTACGATTGTCAACCAGCCGATTGTTATATGATTGGTGATGATGTGTGGGGTGATATTGAGGGAGCAGCATCACTTGGAATGATGACTTTTGTGGTAAAAACAGGAAAGTATCTAGATGGTGATGAATTCAAGATTCAGTCCAAAACCAGAGTTGTTGATAGATTTTCAGATGCAGTAGCTGAGATAATCAAAGATATTTCTTTATTTTAATTCTTAAGTGGTTTAATAGATTTTTTAGAATAAATGATGGAGGATAGTTAATTGAATGACTTCTTTCTTCAAATATATTTTTCGGTGATTATTTCTTTAATGTTTACCTGGATGAAATCAAATTTCTGTTCTGATTTCATGATGGTAAGTTGATCATTTGAATTGATGGTAAGTAGAAATCTCTTGAATCCATTTACCGGTATGCCCAGATAATACGCATGGTCTGCCATTCTCATATATAATATATAGGTCTAGTTCAGTTTTACGGAATAAGTTAATCTATCGGAACGGTATTTTTTTTTGTGATGTTTATCACGGCAAAAGGCCAACTACATAGGCCTTTTTCTTACAAGCCAAGAATTTTTGTCTTGTTGAAATTTGTGGTTTTCAAAAGTAATTTCACATGTTTTGCGAGTTCAAAATGATGTATAATAATTTTTAAATTTTAAAGGGATTGTAAAGAGGTTTTCTAAATTTTTTTATGTGTTTCAGGGACACTGATAGCTTAAATTTTCACCATTCCAATTTTCATTCCGACGTCTGTGGTTCTTGCAATTCCACTATAAGGGAGCTACCGGAATCTGCAGTTCCCCTCTAGTGACGTCACAAAACGTGTTTTAGTGGAATTGCAAGAACCACAGACGTCGGATTGAAAATTTAAAAAATTTAATGTTAACTAAGTAGGCCTAGATTGGGCCTAATCTTTTTGCCTGTGATTCAAAGATGAGTTTAAATTAAATTAAGCAAACTAATTGATTTATTGGCTTTTCTAATGAATTATCATATATTCTAAATCATATCATTTAGTTCTTATTGCATATAATTAAGAGTTTTAACCAATCATAAATGTCCATAGATGTAGTCTGGATAAAGAAAAGAAAAAAGACTTTTTGACCTTTCTTGATAGGTAATTCCTTGATTTAGCTAATTATGAATTAATTATGGGCATGCTTAACTTCCATGTTATCTCAGGGAATCCAGACATGTATTGATAGCCCCTTGATATGCTTATAATAATAGGCATAATCTATGTGACAGTTTAATGATTGACCATCACAGCAGTAGTAATTAGGCCAACACTATCCAGAATGGTCACGAGCTGTTTAAATCTCCTTGTAGCAGATCGCAGAGGCTTTTCCTATTGTTTTACATAGAAAAAGAATTACCCGTGGCCCCTGTTCGGCCTCTCACCTATAATGTTTCTTAGAAACGCCACCGACAGACCGATATTCTCGTCACTGATTTTAAATTGGTCGAGAACTATCCAGAAAACTGAAAGCTACAGAGGTAAATTATTTGTCTAAGAGAATCTTTACCCTGCGTCTAGACAGAAGAAAGATTTGATTCTCTGTGCTTTTAAATCATTTAACACAAAAATCCAATATTAATTAAACATTATTATGGAATCAGATTCGATAAATCAATGCTAAATGATCAACAGAAAAAGAAAACGTGATGTGGAATCTAAATCTCGACAATTAACTTGTTAGTAATCTTATAAAGCGTTTTAGATTGTATCAAATTAAAATAATTTTATGACTAATAATCTATTTAGAATGAGTAAATATGTACATATGGAAACAAAATGATGGTTCAGTTGAAAGTTGTGTTAACTTAATTTCACAGGAAAAAAAGTTTTACTATGCCTACAATAGCCTTTATTTAAAAAAGAATGAGCTTCGAAAACAAGGACATCTTACTTTACAATTGGTACATTAATGGTCATGGTATGTGGCTCCACTTGATTGTGGTAAAAACGGCTCCTGTGTCAAATGACCACAGCAAAAAATATCCTCTAAACAATTAGAATTATATGGCGTGTATCTCTGTAGCATCAGCTTTAATTGAAAACAAACAATTTATAACCTTACCGGGGAATACGTGACTACGATCTGCTTATTGACCATATAGATTAATTCTGCAATTAGAAATAAATACGAGGCCGTTAATAACTCTAACTAATATACATCATATAATTTGTTATTAATTGTATATAAAACTGCTCAGAAAGGTGGAGATAGACTTTAAAAACGATAATTTTCACGACCAAATGAGCGCCAGCCAATTGCCAAGGAGAATCAGCTTTCTTGCAGATCAAATATATTAACAAACACTATTCAACACTTCGGTTTCACACAAACTGTAGCTGAACTAACACAGATACTAAACACCCAGCCACACTTCTAAACGTCGCATTGATAACTGACATTAATTTAGAGTCAGAGACTATAGTACATGAAGCAGGTATAAGTAAGTGATCACTGTCCAATAGAACTCGTCTTAAATCTTCCTAGACCAGAAAAAAAACATTTCAAGCGTACCATTTGGAATTATAATGAACTTTACGCAGATGAGATCAATAACTTCCTGTATGCGACTGATTGGGGTACATTGCTTCGAAGCCATGATGACCCAAATATACTGGCTTCACGTTTCTCTGATAGGCTACTCGAAGCAGTGAATCTCATTGTTCCTCTTAAGGATGTAGTTAGCGGGACAATGTGTGGATGAATGGTAACATCCGTCGTATAATTTGCAATAGAAACAGACTACACAGCAAAGCAAAGCACACGGGTTTACCAAATCACTGGCGGAATTTCTGCACTGCGATAAACTTTGTTGCCTAAGAAGTCAGAGGGGTCAAGAAGGAATATTTTGACAATCTAGATGATAAAATTAGTCAGGGAAATTTTCAGGAGAAAAACTGGCGGAAACTTGTAAAAATATATCATCATTAGATAGTATAAAGGAGTTCAAACTGCAGATCCATCGTATTATACCTTGGAGAAAGATCGGCCCAAATAATACATTGTAAACTCCAAAATGGAATGAATGATCTCAACCTACACCAAGTTCCTAAGATACGTTGGCGACTTCCAATCTTGTGCATATTGGGACATATTCTGCTCGTCTGTCCGAAATATCAAATCCAGAGAAGGGGTACTTTACTTTCACTACCACAGCATCACCTAGATGAAAAAACACCATTATATGGTTCTGTTGACCTCAGTGATATTGAAAATGCACATATCTTCCACGCAATGCACGATTTTATAAAGCAGTCAAAGAGATTCGATATTTAACCATATTATTCGCTCTTTTAAAAGCAAATCTAAAACCTTGGTCTTTGCTACCTCACCCCATCCCAAATTTTGATCTTGTATACCCACTTGTTGATCTCCATCTACCCTAGTTCTTGATCTTTCGTATTTATATCCCATCTGTGTAGGCTTCCCCTAATTGTTGATTTTGTGGTGCGGAGGCTTAATATCTTGATCCTTATGTTGAGGGCCAATTTGTCCAAGCGTCAAATTTACCCGAGTCCAATTATTGGCGGTCATGCAATTGACTATAATATATACGGCTATTTCACAGGGACCAATTATCATATCGCTTGATGACCAATATTTCGTGTATATGGAAGAAGTAATAAATAGTGCTGATGAGTCTTGATTATAGTCACAATTAAACCTTCATCTTCCCAGAACATAGCCTCATTAAAATATGGAAACATGATCGTAATATCTGAAAAATGTTTTATTGGTATCAAATAGCTATAATGCGCTAATGTCTGATACTTCCCATGTTCCGCTAGCATCTACGTGATGTAGATCATTATCATCGTACCGTCGCTAAAGGAACATGGCTATTTCCCGCAATAAGAGCTGTTTTATAAAACTTGTTTCGTAAACTGTGTCCTCCATTAACAGCTAAATTTGCTAAGTTCAAAATTAAATGACATGGAGTTTTACTTTCTACTCTACTGTTTCGGATTGACGCCCAGTGGCAGCTTTGATTTGAAATACAAATATTTGGCATGAGTATACAGTAACAATTACCAGTATGAAATATTCAACCTTCAGACATACACTTCTTTTGAACTTTTTGAGGCGATACTGAATAATATTACCAAGTTTCATCAAAATCTGGGCCTTCTAGAGTGTTTAAAGGGTAAAACTTAAACGCGTTTTTAAGAACAAGGGCAATAACTCATACTAAATATTTTTTAGTGGTTGGGTGATTACATACACTCACACCAAGTTTGCTGTCACTCGTCATGCGCCCAACACTTACAAATATCACATATTTGACCATCTTGACTTAGGGCCATTTCGGTTCAGTGCCAACTCGGCTATAAACCCCAACAAATAATACAACATAATTTTATGTGATGCTTTTATTACCCACAACGATTCAACAATTTACAATGTATTCCAGCTGTCAGAAATGATAACAAAGTCTGTAGTGGTTTAATACGTGAAACCAATCATCCGATTTTTAATAATTTCAAGCTTTACTGAGAGTTTCATCAAGATCGGATAAAAAATGTATTAACCCTGAAATCGTTCATCCAATTATTACTAACTTCAAACTTGAAATATATACATATATGCTAAGTTTCAAGATGGGATCAAAATTGTACTCTTGCATACAAGGGCAATAACTCTGAAACCATTCATCCGATTGACACCAATTTCAAACTTGACCGAGATCTCATCAATATATACATGCAAACTAAATTTCATCAAGATCGTATAAAAATTGCAGCCTTTATCGTGCATACAAGCCAAATTTAACGCGTTTTGACTTAGTCAAGGGCAATAACTCTGAAACTGTTCATCCGATTATTACCAATTTCGAACTTGACCGAGTTCTCATCAATATATACATACATACCAAGTTTCATCAAGATCAGATAAAAACTGTAGCCTCTATCGTGCATACAATAAATGTGGACGGACGGACGGACAGGGGCGACGGCAATATAAAAATGATTGAACTATAAATCAAGGCCAATTACACCAATATCGTCAAATCAGATGTGAACTCGTCCCAAAACATATAAATTTCAAGGATCATACCATATTATAAAAACCAACACAGAATCATCCAATTTGAACTAATCCAACTACCAACTACATACGACTATCTATAGTTTGCGATATCAGCACTGATCATCCATGTTTCATCAAAATCACTTTTGAGTTCAGGAACAAATT